TTAAAGCAAGTCTCCGAGACGTATAATATTTCAGTCTAGAATCCCTATGAATTCGTTAGCTTAGTCGACGAGCAGGAGATAGAAAGGGGGGGTTTGTGGTAAATTTTGATGTTGAGTCTATGTACACTAACATCTCTGTATATGATGCCATACAGGCTCTTAAATCCACACTAGACCAACATGCGGAAATTTTAGTAAACACGAGGTTAAGTAAAGCGTCAATAGTGATACTGACCAACCTAGCGATTTACTGTAGATATTTTGCCTTTAATACTATACTGTACAAACAAACACGAGGTTTAGCTATATGATCGTGTTTGTCACCAATTCTAGCAAATAATTAAATGATTCAATTTGATGAACGTTTAATTTAGGAGGCACTTTTAGTTCCTAAATTATTAGTTCGCTATACGGACGACTGCTTTGCTATTTGGTAAGATGGAAAAAAAACCTGGAGAATTTTCTTGGTTTGATGAACATGATCAATGGGAAGATGAAATTCACAATCGAGTTAGAAAAGGAAGATGGCTTATCTTTTGTTGATATCCTAGTTAGTAAAGATGGGACGAGATTAGGTAAAGATGTGTTTAGGAAACCCACGAATGCAGGTTTCCTTTTGAATTTTTTTTCCAACCGCGCTTATGGGGCTGAAGTAAGAGCTTCGAAGTCTAGGATAAAAAGGAGCCCACGTCTGTAAGATGCTAGACATCGGGACCAGGAACTGAGTAGACTAAAGATAATTCTGGTTAAGAATAATTATCCACGAGTGGTGGTTGGCAATTATTTTAGAATATTTTCAAATTGGATGGATGGAAATACATATTTGGGGCTAGATAAAAAGATATATCACTCTGCCAGGATACTTATGTTGCCATCGTGTAGTCTGACGGAAAAGATGGGCAAATTACTGACAAGGTGGGACATCAGGAGCATTTGTAAAGAGAAAATAACACTGTAATCGGTATTGTCTTCCTTTCGGGAATACTCTGACCCGCTCTCCAGATCGGGCTCTTACAAGATTTTTGTTCATGTGGTAGTGTCTATGTGGGAGCGACCTGTAGACCCATACATAAGAGGTTATCCTAACACAAAACAGCCCACAAGGGTGTGTGGGTCCAAAAATCGGAATTGGCCGAACACATGGCTTGCACAGGACACCAGATAGATTGGTCTAATGCCAAATGCTTAGTTGGACATGGAAGCTATACCAGTCAATGAGCGAAAGATTAGGGAGACGATAGAAATCAACAAAACAGCCATCCGGTTGAATAGAACAAATGAGTGTAGGAAGTTAGGCTGAAACTACTTGTGGCTGTTGGACAGATTTAGAGGGAGAGAGTGAGAGAAGGAGGCTTGACTAGGTTGGAATTTGGTTTTAACCCTCACACCACACTCATTGCAAGAACGTCGAGCTCACACAAATCGCGTGCAATGGGACGCAATCACATGCTGTAACATTGCAGGATCAATGGCATACGTATTTTAGGGGAGGATGCAGCTATTCCTTTTCAATTGCACCCATTTCACACTTCATCTGTAGCCACTTCACATGTCATCCGCAGCCACTTAACTTAACTTATGGGCAAATATAGAGGAAAAACATTGGACATCCAACCAAAACATGATATATATAAGTGGACCAAATTGGAATATAAGAATGAGGTAGATTTGAAGCCGGCCCTCTTTCTTGCCTTTGTGTTTTTGGCGAATTATCATTAAGCATGGTGTCCTGCTCTGACGATGTCCGTCACATGACGGACGAAAGTTCAACAAGGGATTCATCGGGGTGGCAGGATGGTGCACCGATGACTTATTTGCACAAATCTACAACCACAGCTCCAATGTAACCCCCCACAGCCTCCGGTGAGACCAACTTACGAATCCCTTCCACTCACCTCTTCAAACGAAATGAAAGGTACTCCAACATAAATTTATTAAGGGATTCTTCGAAGCTTAATCTTTCTACAGTATTATTTGCATTCGTTTGTTGCGCATCCATTATGAAGTATTTTCTTTTTATTCTCTATATACTCGACCTAAGTAATGAAGCATCCGACCAATAGCTGGATAAGTTTTTCTAATTCCGTCGTGCCATCATATAAAATAATGTTTGTTCCCCATCATGATTTCCCTCTCCCTAACAATGAACTATGACAATTGGGAGCTTTATGATGAAATTCTTTTCATGGCTAAATGACTTGATAAAGTTGGTCGTAGTTGTTATTTTTTGACCATTCTACACTAGTCGTGTTCACTTATCGAAGTGATGATAATTAGGCTAAGATAAAGGCATACAAGCAATAAAGACTCAGGAACTGTCACAACCTTTTCTAGGGACTAGGGTCACTTTAAATTATGACAGACCTGACAGTTGAGAATCCTGCGAGAAACTGGATATTAAGCTTTCTTATTCTTTTAAATTTTATCTTACTCTTGTCTCCCAAAATGAAAGTTTGTTCGGGCTAAACTGCATTTTAGAACCTTGTTTGCTCCCATCAGGGCCTCCAAGGAATTCGAATCCGGATCGTATCTAGTCATGCGACACCCTGATAATTTTGAAACTTATTCACTCCGTCTATTTTGAGTTCAATGGTAAATACAAACCCCACTCGAAATATGAATTAATTGAAGCCTGCTTTGTCTTGAAAAACACACTTATCCACTCGCATTTGTGATTAGTAATTTTGCTGCTTAACTCGCATTAACTGGTTTCGAGTCACGTTAGAGGCTCTGATTAAATTCTCAAACCTGCAGTCTAATCTTGGTAATTACACTCTTGTGGAGGCTATTCTTAAGGAAATTCATTTACATTGCGAGACCTTTTATCTACTTCATTGTAGGGAACGCAACTACCAGGTCTTCCACTAATCAGGATGTCTGTATATATGGCCTATGCCTCAGATATCTATGTCTTGAAATATAACGACATCATTTCAAATGTCGATGCACCTATTTTGCTACCGACTTCTGAGGGCATATTGTTCATTGTGAATCTTTTGTTTATGTAACAGGTTTGTTAGAGAGCCTTTCTGTTTCGCCTCGTGAGGTCGACCACCTTATTCGTTTCATATTCCATGCATGTTCACAATTCTTTTAATGCTGGCAACGATCGTTCAAAAATATTTCCACATTTTTACTACTACTATGTGTTTTTTCGACAACCCACACCATTTCGATTGGCTCTTATTCAAAGCTATCTTTAAATTATTTATAATGCGAAAGTATCTTGTTGCAAAACTTTGTCTGAGGCATATTGATAGCTAGTTTCGCATTCAGGTCGGCTGGAATTACTCTATCTTCCTGCATGCTTTAGCTTCATATTGTTCACTTCCTAACTTCTTTATTTGAAATGACAACTTGAGTAGGATGTTGCCGTGCCTGGCTCCATGAGATATGGTCACGTCATGCGGCATGTAACTGACTTCGCAGTCGAGGGCCTGCGGACTTTGGTGATTGCTGACCGGCGTCTTAAGTCTCCAGATGAGTACGATTCCCTGCTATCCGAGCTACAAGAGGCTAGGGGCAGGATCGGTCCCGAGCGTCAGGCCTCCATCGATAGGATCTATGCCAAGATAGAGTCCAATTTTACGCTTCTCGGCATCACAGGAATTGAGGACAGGTTGCAACCAGGAGTGAGGAAGTGCCTCAGGAGTTTACGCGCTGCTGGAATTCAGGTAAAGAGACCTTTTAAAAGGGACTCAGCATTGATAAAACTATATTAGGAAATTCCGTTATTTGCCAAAATGCATTACTTAGGTTTGGACTTATTGAATGATCGTCACAACTGATTACCATTTCCTCTTCAATTTAATAATACTCATATCAATGAAAACTTGTTGACTATTTGCTACTTAATGACCGAGTCAAACAGTGCCTCTATTTTGTACTTTTGGATTTTAATAGTTTTATCCTCTTCCGAGGAAGCTGATCAGTCGGATTTCTCTTTACTTTTCTGTAAGGTCAACAAGAACTTGCATTTTCTTCTTTATCTATGCAACCTATTCTATTTTTAACCACATTTCACAAAGACCCTTCGAGTATTTTGGCAGACGCTCTCCAGCAACATGTCGTTTATGAACTTTTCAAGCCCAGTATGTATTATACTTAGAGAAAAATTGACATCAAACAGCTTTGCTATGCTCCTTTGCTGTCAGGACTAAAGATTTAGGAGATTGGCCTCATTATCTAAGCTATATAGAGGTATATAAATTTAATTCTTTTATAGAAAACAAGTGAGTTACCTACAAAACTATTGGAACTACCTCCTACTTCAATATCTGACATACTATCAATTAAGCTCATTTAGATAATTTTCGCTTAAAGCGCTTTCTTTGAAGGCTCGCATTCAAAAAAAATATCTCTTTTGTGTGTCAGGCTCCCATCAAGACATCCAATAGTGCAAAGCGATAAATAGAATGAGTGGATAGTAGTATTAGGAATTTTATAGAAAGCTGAAGATACATTTTGATATGTAGTTCGAGAAAGTAAACGATTTGGCTCCCATTCGGTTTTTTTCGTACCGATTTTAAGTATTATTTCTAATGACCTTAGTTAATTAACTAAGATTTGCAATAAACCTGAAACTAGGACGGCCATATACTTGTTTTCTATTAATATCTCTGCCCGGCTTCCTTACTGGATAAAAGATAAACATAAGGTAGATGGAGGTTGTTTGACCTTGTTTTCGCAACATGGTCATATTGGTAGGAAGAATTAGGGGAACGCAAGTAGTCCGGAGTCCATTGATTGCATGATCATTTCCAAAGTTGAACCGTAGACGTGGTACATTCCCAAACGTTTCGCCAGCATCGCAGTCGGCATCGTCAAGACCACCGACAGCCTACGGACTACCGAAGATATACAAGGAAGGAAATCCTCTAAGATTTATAGTCAACAACAAGCATGGAGCAATGCATAAACTAGAGAAATTCATTTGCTTAAAGCTCAAGAAAGTAAATGACAGACACTTGAATACCGTCAAGAATTCATATGAATTTTCTCAAAGGATCCAGAAAATTGCGTTGGTGAGGTCGGAAATGTTGGTGAGTTTCGATGTACATGTACACAAACATCTTAGGTGAGAAGGCGGTAAGCGCCTTGATGGATATATTGGAGCGAGAAGAGGATATCCTGGAGGCAGAACGGATACTGAAGGAGTCGTTAACACGACTAATCAACCTGACAGTTATGACAACATATTTCACATTTAACGGCATTATCTATGAGCAAACATTTGGACTACCGATTGGATCTCCACTCTCACCTCTTTTGGCAAATGTATACACGGTCAAGTTGGAAAGGGAATTTGAGAAGTCACCACTGCAACCAAGAGTGCTCATGCGATACTTGGATGACTAC